ATCAACAAATATATATGAATACAAAATTATACATACTAAAAAATATGTATATGAATACAAAATTATATGTATTTTTCTATAACTGCATATATTCCACATGTAGCAACTATTTCAGTTTATATATTTTCTATTTTGTTACAAATTCCAAATACCCTAAGCAAGCGTATAGCCGCCAAAAAAAAAAGAAGAGAATACTGTATTATAAAGAAGCAAACACATTTCATTCCATTTGAATGCACTTTATGTATTGTTTGCAATAAATCTATTGTTATTCCGACGCACCCTTTGCGAACCCCCTTTGGGCGGCAAATTTCAAAGGCGAGGACATGGGGAAAAAAAGGATACACCCGCAATATCAATAATAACAGCGACGACCCAACAACAAAAAGAGCGCCGCCAACATTTGACACTCGCTCCACTGTTTGCTGTTGTTGTTGTTGTTGGGCATTCGAGGGCCCCAAGCACGTAGCCAATCAGCGGGTGGATCGGCAGTAGCTTTAAATTGACATTTACATGAATATTTAATATACATCCTTTAATCATGAGGCGTTCCGCTCTGTGTTTGCCGGGTAAATAACCAAGTTCCATGTTGGTTCATTGCCTGAATAAATGAATGCCCCTGGACAACGACATCAGCATCAGCATCGACATCGACATCGACATCAACATCGACATCGACACATACATGACCATGGACACGGACATGGACATGGACATGGACAACCAATGTCCATGTATTGGTTGCTCATTTGACAGTTTCACTCGACGCTGCATACACTTGCAGCAATTAATTGCTACAAATTAAGAGCGATGAGAGCTCAAGCTGTTATGAAGAAGATGAAAATGCCAATTTATTTATTTATTTATTTATTATAATAAGTACCAGAGGGTATGCAAATTTGTTGATGTTAAGAGGTAAGAAAATGCTTTGCCAAGTGTTGCAAAATTAAAACGAGTTCAAATATCATGGACGGAATCAAATTTGGACAGTTGAAAAATTCCAATTTATGAATTGCAATATATAAAGAAACACTAATTTTAGTCCACATAAACTTTATTTAAAATAAATAATTTTTTTAATTTAA